TAAGCACTTTGTTCCTCATTCCTTGACTCCTCAAATGGCTCGGACGACTCTATTTTCATATCATCATCTAAACACAATGTGAAAAAATGCTTGGAGTGAGGACCAATGCGCTCAACTACATGAACATTGGGACTATCTACATTCTCAACACTAATGACAATAGAGTCAACTAAATATGTATCCTCAATATCCTTGGTTGACTCTAGTATCTCTTCTACAACATCGACATCCTCAAAATCTAGTGTGATTGATTGTTGGTGTTCTACTCTAGCCTCCTCCTCTAGCTCATCAATTTTTGTATCTAATTCACGCTCTTCTTGGATACTATTCACAATATTGACTTGTTGAGCATTAAAAACTTCAACCACTTGACTCATGTGAACTTTCAAGTTGTGAATAGTTTCCTCCTGCCTTTCTATCCGCAGTAGTAATTTACTCTGTTGTTCCAAAATGCACTTTAACATATCTTCGAGCTTCTTTAGGTCAGCTTCCCTAGGTTCTTTGTTCCTATTAACTTCACCAGAAAAAGAAGAACCATCAAAGTAAGGGGTTAGGGGAAGGTAAGAAATATAAGCACAACCGTGAAAGTGACCATCTTGACCACCACACATATCACACACATTCCACACATAAGATTGAGTTGGTGCACAAAACTCGCTCTCAGGAATATTTTGATAATTTTGCCCTGGGTGGTTTCCTTCATAATATGCATAAGGAGGATCAAAAGTAGAATTACCAACAACAAAATTCTCATAATTCCATGATGTCATATTTCTCAAATAAACAAATAAAACTAAAATAATAAAAAAATAAAAAAAAAATGAAATAATAAAATAAAAGTTCAAACTTGAAACCTAGCAATATGTACACCTACAACTACACCGTTAGTTCCCCGGCAACGGCGCCAAAATTTGATCACGCCCAACTATGCCTTCTAAAAAGGACAATGCGGTTGCTGCAAATATAATCCGGTTTACAAGTCCAGAGTCGAATCCCACAGAGAACTAAGGTTTAGCTACAACTGTTCACTATCACCAAGAATACAAGCTTGAACAATTCCTAACTTATAGATATTAAGATTCTTATGTTTAACTAATTAACTAACAAATTGAAATAGTAAATTAACAACTAAATATACTAAGGGTTAGAGACAAGGTTAAGGAGGTCTAGAGTTATGATTTCCCCAATTGTCGGAATTCTTCCCGCTATATCTTCTATAATTTCGCCTAAGTATTCTCTACCAATCATGAGCACTCTTATTACCGTAAATCTCTCCCGAGTAACTACGACAATTTACTAGACGCACTCTCCCGAGCTACGCTAGCTGGCTTTTAATACAGCTCACTTTAGATCGCACCCAAGGCTTCGTTATCCCTAATCCCGCCTTTAAACCCTCGGTTATTGATCCCTCATATACTTTGGGAGTAGTGTTGTTCAACAATTACCTAAATATGCACTCTCTCCCGAGTTATGTATACTAAATAGGCACAGCTAATTGAGAGCTCTTCAATCAACCAGAATATAAACGTAGTTGAACAAATAGAGAAAAGCTATGGCTCAATTATATAAAAACATAACAAGAATTTATCCTACAAAAGGTTGTATCAAAACTCTAGATAACAAATTAGCTATTCATAATAGTATGTAAAACTACAATACTAAAAGTCATAACCAACAATGAAAAATAGGAAGAGGAAGGAAAAACTCGTAGAAGAATTCTCCGCCTTGCTCCCAATGTGTTCTTGCCTCCTTAGGTCGAATCTATGTCCAAAATATGTCCCCTCCTCTTTCTTGGCCGGCTTCCTTGGTTTAATATAGGGTTTAGGGCTTAAAATCCCGTATTTTACACATAAGTCCCTGAAATTTCCGCCTCCTGCCGCGGTTTTGCCGCGGTCACGGTGGAACCGCGGCCAAACATGTCCTCTGATTCTTCAGTTGTCCGCGACCATCTTCTACCACGGTTCTGCCGCGGTCGCGGTGGAACCGCAGTTTTTCACCCTGTTCGGTTTGGAATTTGGAAAAACGTAAAACATGAAAGTTTTAGCCCTTTGAGTTAGCTTTCCAACCATATATTGTGGAGCCCAAATGGAGTTCTGAGCAAAAAGTTATGTCTATTTTACTAGACAGTACGCAATATGCCTCCTCAAGTCTTCGTTCGTACTTAATTATCAAATTTGACCCCCGAACACGATCCCGGCTTAATTCCTTGAGCTTTTACTCAGACTTCAAAGCTTCAAATCACTTAAATTCATTCCATTACATCTATATAGCTCGGAATCACACCTACAAGGCATAAAACACATAATTAGTACAAAACACTAGCGATTAAAGCGCAAACTCAATTAAAGTGCGGTAAATTCGAGTGTAATAAGCGACTAAAATATGCAATTATAGCCTATCATCAAGAGGGCAGATTGTAACTTTTATCCACGAACAGATTCTTTGAAGCCAAATATCCTCAAATATGTGATATATATATTCTGTTGATGAGTCTATAATTGGCTTGACACAAAATATAGAAGAGAATTTCCAAATTCATCTAAGTGAAATTGATAATTAGAAATAGTATTAAAGCCTTTTATTTTGGAATTTTTGAAGTCTTATTCTTATCGACATGTGACTATGTTACACTTTCTGTGGCTTAAGACCGAAGTGGAGTCTTTGTTTTGCCGATTAAAGCAAAAACTAGTTGTGAGTAAATTTTATGGCCCTTTAATGTATTTCCTTATATGATAAAGAAATAAACAAAGGTATTGTGATCCTTGTTGGCATGTATTATATGTATTCATGTATTCTGGATACAATATAAAAGCAAAAAAAAAAAAAAAAAAAGACTTTGGTTTTAAGATCTTTAAAATTAATTTTTTAATTGCAAAGCCATTAACTGTTAATAGGTCTAATTGCCTTGACAGATTGAGGATTTTGGTATCTTTTTCATACGTTAAAGTGCTACAGAATTGTTCCAGTAGTAATATCTATATATATATTAAAGCAAGAAAGTTGCCATATATAATTGACATTATGGTTAAGCCAAGTGGCAAACTAATAAATATCAATAGTATATGGTAACTTTATTCTATATTTGACTATTTTAGTTAAATATAATATAATATAATATTATATATATTATATAATATATATATAATATATGTAAACATATATAATTGTCTATATATATATATATTAAAGGAATAAGGTTACCATATATAATTGGCATTGTGGTTAAGCCAAGTGGCAAGCTAATAAATGATAATATTATATGGTAACTTTATTCTATATTTTACTATGTTAATCAAATAAATNAAAACTTGAAACCTAGCAATGTACACCTACAACTACACCGTTAGTTCCCCGGCAACGGCGCCAAAATTTGATCACGCCCAACTATGCCTTATAAAAAGGACAATGCGGACGTTGCAAATATAACCTGAGTATTTATGCCCAGAGTCGAATCCCACAGAGAACTAAGGTTTAGCTATAGTTGTTCAATATCGCTAAGAAATACAAGCCCAAACAATTTCCTAATTATAAAGATTATAATATTCATTTTTTTATCCAATTAACTAACAAATACTAGAAAGCAATAAAACTATCAATTAACAAGGATAAGGGTTGGAGTCGAGATTAAGGAGGTCTAGAGTTATGATTTCCCCAATTGTCGGAATCCTTCCCGCTACGTTTTCTATAAATTCGCCTAAGTATTCTCTACCGATCATGAGCGCTCTGACTGTCGTAACTCTCTCCCGAGTAATTACCACAATTTACTAGACGCACTCTCCCGAGTTACGCTAGCTGGCTTTGTTTATTACAGCTCACTTTAGATTGCACCCAAGGCTTCGTTATCCCTAATCCCGCCTTTAAACCCGCAGTTATAGATCCCTCTTATACTTTCGGAGTGGTGTTGTTCAACAACTACCTAAATATGCACTCTCTCCCGAGTTATGCACACTAAATAGGCACAGCTAATTGAGGATCCTGTCAATTAACTACAACAAACACGTAGTTGAACAAATAGAGAAAATACTACCGCTCAATTATATAAAAATAACAAGAATTTATCCTACAAAAGATTCCATCAAAACCCTAGATAACAAATTAGCTATTCATAATAGCATGTAAAACTACAATACTAAAAGTCATAACCAACAATGAAAAATAGGAAGAGGAAGGAAAAAACTCGTAGAAGAATTCTTCGCCTTGCTCCCAATGTGTTCTTGCCTCCAAGGGTGTTGTCTAACCCTAAAGTAGTGTCTCCCCGCCTCCTTAGGTCTAATTTGTGTCCAAAATATGTCCCCTTCTTGTTCTTGGCCGGCCTCCTTTGTTTAATATAGGGTTTAGGACTTAAAATCCCATGTCTTGCACTTTAGTCCCTGAAATTTTCGCTTCCTGCCGCGGTTTTGCCGCGGTCGCGGTGGAACCGCAGCCAAACATGCCCTCTGATTCTTCAGTTGTCCGCGAGTACACTCTGCCGCGGTTCTACCGCGGTCGCGGCAAAACCTCGGTTTTTCACCCTGTTCCGTTTGGAATTTGGAAAAACGTAAAACATGAAAGTTGTAGCCCTTTGAGTTAGCTTTCCAACCATATATTGTGGAGCCCAAATGGAGTTCTGAGCAAAAAGTTATGTCTATTTTACTAGACAGTGCGCAATATGCCTCCTCAAGTCTTCGTTCGTACTTAATTATCAAATTTGACCTCCGAACACGATCCCGGCTTAATTCCTTGAGCTTTTACTCAGACTTCAAAGCTTCAAATCACTTAAATTCATTCCATAACATCTATATAGCTCGGAATCACACCTACAAGGCATAAAACACACAATTAGTGCAAAACACTAGCAATTAAAGCGCAAACTCAATTAAAGTGCAGTAAATTCGAGTGTAATAAGCGACTAAAATATGCAATTATAGCCTATCATCAGCATCTATATAATTTTCGAACTTGAAAGAGTTCTTACAATGATTTCACAGTTAATTTTTTGAATCGCATTTGTGTTTATACAGGCGTGACAGTTTCATCACACACAGAGCCTTTTGTGATGCCTTGGCTCAAGAAACTGCAAGAAATCCAGTACCAACCTTTAGCACAATTGGCAGCCATTTATATGGAAGTAATAGCAACATAAATTTGGACAACTTCTCCAAAATGCAGAATTCCACAAATTTAGATCAAAAGTATCCTTCTTCTGATTCCACAGATATATTGAGTTTGGGCAATACTAAAACTACTCATAATCAGCAGTTCAATCACAACTTCATTGGTACATCCAATATTGGCTCAACTACTAGTACTAATTCCTTTTTCTTTCAAGATTCCAATCAAGATTATGCCAACATTAAACCAATCCATGGCCTAATTCAACTCCCAAATTTTCACAACAACAATATGTTTAACCTCAACTTTTTCCAGAATAATGATGGCAATAGCAATTTGTCTACTGGAATTTTGGGTGATCAAAATATTAGTTGTTCAATCCATTCTCTTTATGGTTCACAAGTTCAAAACCATAATCTTAATAGTACTACTACTACTTCAGTTGCACCAATGTCAGCCACTGCACTTCTTCAAAAAGCAGCTCAAATGGGATCTACTACAAGTAATATTAGCACTACTGCCTCATTGCTGAAAGCCTTTGGAAATAGTACTATTAGGGGCAATTCATCTTCTAGTGACACAAAATCTGATCATCAAGCTGTCAACTTTGGCGACATTTTCAGTGACCATAGTGGGAACCACCAGCGTGACATCAATGGCGAAGCCGGAAATTTTGGTATGGATGTCCAATCTTTATTAGGAGTCTTTACACAAATAGCTGATCAAATTCACTATTTACTTTTTCGAATTGGTATACATATATTATACACTGATTATACTTGGTTATATGACCATAGTGGGAACCACTTGCATGACACAATGGCGAAGCCAGGATTTCGGTAAGGATGTCCAATATAGGGGTCTTTACCCAAATAGCCGATCCTATTCACTAATTACTATATATAGATTATACACTGATTATACCTAGTTATACACATATTAACAACTTGCTATTTTTGGGTAAGGATATCTAATAGGGGTCTTCACAAAAAATAGCGACCGAATTCATTATTTACTTTTTCGAGTCGGTATATATAAGTTATACACTGATTATACCTGGTTATACACATGTTAACACATATTAATATGAATTATACATATATTATACACCTGCCATATATTATACATTTGCCGATTATTTTTTATTTAAATGATTAGGCCGGTGGCTATTTATGTTAATTGTTCTATTTAAATATAAGAAGTAATATTTGAAACTATTACATATATAGTATATGCACCATAAAATTTTCTGCTAAGAATGTTCGACTGACTATCCTTTGTCATACGTAGGTCCGCCTGGTGACATTATGAATGGTGTCAATGCTTATGGACATGACCAAAATGACTATGGAGGAGGATACAACACAGCAACCAAGTTGAACTTTGAGCAGCAGCACCACCACCAATTACCACCACAGAAGAAACAGTTAACTAGAGATTTCCTTGGAGTTGGGGAAATAGTAAGAAGTATGAGTGGGGGATTTAGTAGCCAAAGAGAGCAACAGCAACAACAACAAAGCAAGCAGGGTTTTATAAGTCCTGAAAATTTTCAGTGACGTTCAAGAAAAGGTGAAAAAAGTTCAGGTATGACAAAAGGAAAGCACAAAAAAGTACAGGTAAAAGTTTAATTGTTTTTCTAAAAAAAATAGTACTAGTACTAGTATTAGATTATTCTAAGAATTTCTCTATCTATATATCATTTTATTGTGAAATTTTTTTAAATGTTGCGAAAGGTGAACCAAGTGCTCTGCTAATTAATTAGTAAGGTTTAATTCTGCTTGAGCAATAATTGGGTTTATATCCTTGCTGATTCTAGGGGAAATTTCCAATGTTTCTTTGGCCATTATTTTTCACATGCTTTTTAAATATTTTGAGTTGTTAATTATTGTGATGTATACAGTTAGATTTCTCTATAACAACATCCTTATATAACAGCACTTCACTATAAAAGCCAAGCCTTTTCGGAACCAAATTTCATGTTCAGTTATAATATAAGTTTTCTATAACAACAATTCGCTATAACATCCAAAAATATCTGGAACAAACGGAGCTGTTATAGAAAAGTTTAACGATAATACTTTGTATATAGTTGTTAAATATATGAATTTATTAAAAAAATATAAAAATTCTAATTTGTCCTCGTACTCCGAATCACATCACATAAAATGAGACGGAGGGAGGTGTTATATATACCTTTGCGTCTGTGCATGTTTGTATGTGCATTGCATTTTTGTTGATTCTTAAGGGGTCGTTTGGTACACGAGATAAGGTAGGATAAAGTGTGGTACTAAACAACCAAACATAATATAAACTTAGTCCTAGATTTAATTCTGAATATCTAGTCTTTTTCCACCTTATCTCATTAAAATTGGTATTATTTTATCCAACCTCTAAGAATAGCATAATGTTCTTGCTTGTGAATGTTTTGTTTAATTTATTTTTCTTCTGAGTAATCTGAAAAATTATTCTCCATAATAGTTTCCCCCCATGCATAAAAGGACATCTTTATTGATTTAATACGATGGTTTAATTTGCAGGGTATTTATGTCTGAAAGGAGAAATTCTTTTACTGATGAAGCAGATAGCTGTAGTTTGAAGTCTTCTTCAAGATTTTAGCAGACAATTAGAAAAACTTGTTTCTGGAGATGGACTTTGAAAACAGTAAAACTCTGTTGTTTTTTCTTCCTTTTTGTCCTTTATTTGCTAAGATTTTGTTTTCCATTTTGTTGACATATGTAGTCCAACTCTATTTTATTTAGTCCTTACATTTTAGTTTTTCAACTATTCAAGAAAGTAGGCCAAGACACAAAAAATATAGCTTTATTAAAAAAGATAGACCTTATATATATATTATATATAATATATATATATATATATATATATATAATATATATATATATATATATATATATATATATATATATATATATATTATATATGATCTTCATTCCTTGGGTAAGCTTTGATAATAAGATGCATATATTTTCTGCTCTTCTTTATTTCAGCAGAGTTTCAGAAAGAAACTGCAACAAATATCATGATTAACACATGGAGCAAATAATATATTTCAGAATGATTTTTCTGTCAACTGCTTCTTCAGTTACCTTTTTTATATGCTTAAATAATTACAAGTAATCTTACATTTTAGATTACACGTTGGATAATAATCATTTATGAAGAACTTAGGTCACGTTATGGACTAACGTTTTTAAGGTACACTACTAGAATTCCGGGAAAAAGCGACAAACCTTTAGCGACCAAAGTTGGTCTGTCAAGAAAAGCGACCCAACGTTGGTCTCTAAATGGAGAAAATAATAAATAATATTTTAAATACATTAGCGACCAAAGTTGGTCGCTATTTGGTTAATAATTTCGTCAAAATGTTGACCGGACTGGTCAGACTGTGTTGTCAAAGAAATACTGAGTATAGCGACCAACGTTGGTCGCTATTGTGGACCACTTATTAAATTTTAATAATTATATTATTATTTAAAAAAATTTATAAAATATAAATAAATATAATTCAAAGTTAGCGACCAAAGTTGGTCGCTTATAAAAATAGAGACCAATTTGGTCGCTAATATGGGACCCGTTTAAACAATTATATTAATATTTTAAATATTATATAAAATATAAATAAATCTGATTTAAATTTAATTTAAATTTAAGTATAATTAGCGACCAAAGTTTGGTCTCTTTTCAGGTCAACAATGGTCAAAATTAAAAATAACTTTTGTATTTACTATCTAAATAATATAATGTAAGCCGTTAACACTTTTGTAACACAAGGATGAATAGACTAAAATATACTTAACATGCTATGCACTAAGTATAAGCGTATTAGGTAATATTATATCGAATATGGCTTATATATATGTAATATATATTGTTACGCTGTACTATGCACTAAGTATAAGCGTATTAGGTAATATTATATCGAATATGGCTTATATATATGTAATATATATAGTTACGCTGTACTATGCACTAAGTATAAGCGTATTAGGTAATATTATATCGATATGGTTTTATATATGTAATATATATAGTTACGCTATACTATGCACTAAGTATAAGCGTATTAGGTATTATTATATCGAATATGGCTTATATATATATATATGTAATATATATAGTTACGCTGTACTATGCACTAAGTATAAGCGTATTAGGTAATATTATATCGAATATGGCTTATATATATGTAATATATATAGTTACGCTGTACTATGTACTAAGTATAAGCGTATTAGTAATATTAATATCGAATATGGCTTATATATATATAATATATATAGTTACGCTGTACTATGCACTAAGTATACAGTGTATTAGGTAATATTATATCGAATATGGCTTATATATATGTAATATATATAGTTACGCTGTACTATGCACTAAGTATAAGCGTATTAGGTAATATTATATCGAATATGGCTATATATACTTACGTTGTACTATTGCACTAAGTATTAGCGTATTAGGTAATAATTATATCAAATATGGCTTATATATATGGCTTATATATATGATATATATATTATAATATATTATATATATATATATATATATATATATATATATATAATATTAAATTGAATTAAAAGTTAATTTAAATTTTTTTTAGATATAGCGACCAATGTTGGTCGCTATTTTGGTCAAATAGTCAATACATTTTGGCTACCAAAAATAGCGACCAAGGTTGGTCGCTTTCTGTAAATACAGTAGCTAAAAAACGGGTTTCCCTCATATTCTCTTATTTTTTTCTCTCTCTTCTCTCTCTCACACCCAAACTCCCCATCCCCTTACCGTTCTCCCTCCATCGACGCCGCCGTCCCCCTCCACCATCCACCCGCGGGAGGCAGCAGCAGCTTCCAGCGCCAGTGTCCTTCACTGTCCAGGTAGGTTTCTCTCTCCTTTCCTTATTTTTTTCGAAATACACAGATTGTTTTAATTCTTTGTTAGTTTGATTTGTAAAAATTAATTGTTCTTAGCTAAATTAAATATAGGATATTTATTAGTAGCTAAAATAATTTAGTTTTACCTACTAATTTGGGAAAAAATGGGTGAAGAGAAGAAACCCTAAATTTTTAGGGTTATTTAAGTCTTGTTTATGGTGGGGTCAAATTAGAATTTAGTTCTTGTGAGGATTAGAATCTAGATCTGATTATCTTGATATTTATTTTATTTCATTGTTTGACTCATGTAGATTTTCCTAATAGATAATTAATAAATTTATTCTTTGGAAGTTAGGAGTTATTATATTTGAGAATACACCCTTATATTTATAAATAAAACACTTTAACCCATTACATTATTGGGCATATTACACATATATAACTACATACTTAGGATATGAATTGAAATTTTGGTTTATGTATTGGAGTTTTAGATTATAAATTAAATTTTAGATATGACTTGAACTTTTGTGGATAATGAGTTGAACCTTTAGATATGAATTGGACTTTTAGTTTATGAATTGAGATTTTGGTTTATGTATTGGAATTTTAGTTTATAAATTGAAATTTTTGGATATTACTTGAACTTTTGTGGATATGAGTTGAAACCTTTAGGATATTGAATTGGACTTTTAGTTATGAATTGAGATTTTGGTTTATGTATTGAATTTTAGTTTATAAATTGAAATTTTAGGATATGACTTGAACTTTTGTGGATATGAGTTGAACTTTAGGTATGAATTGGACTTTTAGTTTATGAATTGAGATTTTGGTTTATGTATGGAATTTTAGTTTTAAATTGAAATTTTAGGATATGACTTGAACTGTTGTGGATATGAGTTGAACCTTTAGGATATGAACTTTTGGGATATGACTTGAAATTTTAGGATATGACCAGAAACCTTTAGGATATGACTTGAACCTTTAGGATATGAATTGGAATTTTTGTTTATGAATTGGAATTTTTAGATTATAAAATTAAATTTTTTTTGGATATGAGTTGAACCTTTAGATATGAATTAAAATTTTGGTTTATGTATTGGAATTTTAAGATTGCGGGAGGATTTGTAGAAGGGGTTGATGTAATATTAGACATGCAATGGAACTTCCACCAAGAATAAACTAAGACACAGTACCTGGCAGAGTGTGCCTTTAATTGTTCTTCTCATTAGCGACAACGATGATGAGAAGGCAAGAACATGTGTTCAAATAGTTATGGTGTAGGTAGGAGTTTAACATTTCCTAAGTAGATAAAGAAGAGGTAATAGAGGAATTCTATACTTCATTTCCAAGAGGAAAAGGAGTTTAATGGGAGTGACAAGGTTGATGGTGATGGAATGTTTTCCGTTGGTCATTGGCAGTTCCGTAAAACGGGGATCATAAGACTCTATGATGACAGAGATTATAGGAAGTTTTGTTCTTAACTTCTTCCAAGTCTGATCCGTACGAGCTTAGTGGGATATTGGTGATATATTCTTCGGATTCAGAAGAATATATCACCAATATCCCATTAAGCCTTGTACGGATCAGACTTGGAAGAAAGTTGAGAACAAAACTTCCTATAATCTCTGTCATCATAGAGTCTTATGATCCCCGTTTTACGGGAACTGCCATGACCAACGGAAAACATTCCATCACCATCACCCTTGTCACTCTCAATTAAACTTCTTTTTCTTGTTGGAAAATAAGTAGAGAATTCCCTATAATCTTTCTTTTATCTACTTAGGGAAATGTTAAAATTCTTGCCTATACCATCTCTAGTTGAAACACATGTCATTTGCAGTCTCAACATCATTGTCGCTAACGAGAACAACAATTGATCAAAAGCACAACCCTGTCAGCTACTGTATCCAAGTTTATTCTCTGTATCGTAGTTCATCCCGAGTAATAACACCATGAGGAATAATCACCAAGAGCCACCGGACAGCTTTATGATGCCAATGAAGCAAGATGAGCTATTCAATGAAACTGTAGTGTAAAGAAGAAAGAAAGAGACTGATTCAGAAATGTGGGTCGAGGTCGAGCCTCGACTATACATGTAATTTTTTGCTTATCATTAAGTATTTTGATTTACTTTTATATAAATTTTGAAATATTAATTCAATATAATTTTTCTTATAGGTTCGCTTCAGAGCTGATGTGGGGGAATTCATACGAATCAGCCACCTAACGAGTCGGCCGAGGCAATCCAACTTTCGAAACGAGGATGCTAAAAGAACACTCCTTGAGTACTTTATATACTTTGAACTAGACAATAGAACTAGTTTTCGAATGAGCTTTGTTAATAAACGTTAACTTAGTTTTGTTAGCTTAATATTTTAGTTCTACTGATCTTTATATTTTATTGCGTTTTAGTGTTGTTGTTGTTGTTGTTGCTGGCATAAAATGCCTGTTTAGGATATTTGGTATAAGCTGGCAGGTGTGTAGCAGCCAAAACAAGAGTTTCTGCCCAAAAATATACCAAAAAAGCAACCAACTTTGGTGTCTAGTTTGGTCGCTGTTCACATTAAAAAAAATAATTTTCGGTAATTTTGCGACCAAGGTTGGTCGCTTATAGTTAAAAAAATTAATTCTTTCCATTGGCGACCAAATATTGGTCGCCCAATAAATAAAAAATTTATAACATTATATTAATATAGCGACAATGTTGGTCGCTTAATATGATTAAAAATAAATAAAAATAAAACGTTATTTACATCTGGAGACAACTTTGGTCGCCAAATATATAATATTAAAATATTTGAGCGACCAAAGTTGGTCGCTATATGCTTTGGCCCGAAAATTTGGTCCTTTTACCTGGGAGACCAACGTTGGTCGCTATTTAGC